CCAGGCGCCCCAATTAATTTTTGATTACTTTAGCATAATGTCGTCTAGTAGAATTAAGCATAAATAGTGCCAATTTAAATAAAGAAGTTCAATTGTTTTTACACAATTCAAATATAAGGCGTTTAATCGTAAATACAGGTTGAATGTATGTTGAATCCGTTTCAAAAACTTCATCAAGATGCAGATCAGACGTGTCAATATTTTTAGCTGAGTTAATGAAAATGTTTGTACACAATTTTTAATATAATACGTTTATCCTTCTCATCGGACATGTGCGTTCTTCCTTTTCTTAGTCTTTATTATCGCGCTTAGTACCCCTCAAGGTAATAACTGGAACTGACAGTGCAGTGGCATTGGAAATCAAAGCGCCTCAACGCCTCGAAATAGAGCTATGTGAGTAAAATACCACGAACTCACATACATATTCTGTCACAGAGCTGTTTTAAGCTGCGTGATTAAAGAGATAAGGACCGCATCTTTGAAACATCTCAAATAAATACCGAAAAACGCTATCAGAAGTGTTTCCAGAACACCCGTACAAGTGGATCGTATATGACTGATACGAAGAAGAGAAGAGTAGGATCTGTTAAAGTGGAAAATGTAAACGCGTTTGCTGTAAAAGCGCTCACCAAATACATGTGTAGCGGAATTATCGCACTCATCGATCACTTGCTATCTACATCAGATTTACTTCATATTGAATAGGGGAAGGAACAATGTGAGGGATTTCCTAAATGCAATGTGAACCTAGCAAATTATCGAATCATAGAAGAAGAGACTTACTGATCTGTTTTTTCGTAGGGCGTTGCACGAGATTCCGTTCACAACTACTTTTTGGAGCACTTTGATCATCTGATTGGCTTGGGGGAGTTGCAATTGCTACCGCTTGAAACCCGTAATATTCTTAAATCCAACATGTTTGATCTATGCTGTTATCCTTGACGAGTATACAAATGCATTTCAATATTCAAATGTGTACACATCACATATTAATAATGATGCACACACAAATGTAAACATTTATATTTACTTGAAAAGAATTGTGAAAAGAAAAACTTCCCAAACACCATTCGTTGTTTGATAATTGACAACGTTTCAAGACTCCATTTTTCTCGTGCTAAAATATTGCAATGCAGTTTGATTATACGTAGGGCAATGAACCCAGCACGCGCTTACCATATACTATTTCAATTCTCCCTAATATTTCAATATTTTTTACGACCCGCACAACTATGTATCGCATTTCGGCCAACTGCATTGCAATTGACGCACACGCGGCAATGCTATACGCAAGTTCATGGTCGAACTAAAAGTTGTCCATTCGGCAATTCTATTTTTACCAGAATAATTATTGGAAATACAATAGCGTAAGGAATATTCCATCGATATACACAAAGACACATAGATGTAGAAATATATGTAAACAGCCAAAAATCACAATAGACCAGCAACCATTCTTACGACCGGGTAGTGATGGTAAAAAACTACCCAAAAAGTGCAAAAAATATAACATCAAGTACATAGAATATAAGTTAAGGACCGTCCTAACAAAAACCATAAATTTAAGAACAACCCTAATAAGCAAAGTAAACAAACATAGAATTTCATAAACAACGAGCGTCATACGAACTCGTTGTGATTACTTCTCATCAATCTCATATTGCAACCTACTATAAACACTTCTCACTAATCTCATATTGCACCTTATTATAAACATCGTTCCATTTTCGATAAAAGTACTAACTACAGTTTATTGGCTAACCCCAAGGCTTCCTACAAGCTAATCAATCAGTTCAATATCAGACATCAACTGTAACAACATCTCTGAATGAGGGCGCGAATCACCCCAAAATCGTCGGGGCGGCGTAGGCGCAGAAGAGGAGGGCGGCGCAGAGCTCGCGCCGCACCAACAAGACCAATCATCATACACAAGCACTTCTATGCCTCAAAATAAAATAAACCCAACAAATTAAAAACTTATTTAATTTATATAATTCATATAAAGAAAAATTACGTTGATGTAACAATAACAACAAATATATTCTATACGATTTATGAAACAAGTCTTTATATTGTAACGAGTTTCCTTAGGCGGGGTATGACTCAGTCAATCCAGGATTCGTTGCAAGAAAATTTAGAAAAATAATCAGGACCTTCGGGGGGAATGGTGTATAATTTCCAGGCTTTATTGGTTCCACTTTACTGGACGGAAGTACAGCAATGTTTGTAGAAAATGGCTGGGGCAAGGAACCAGCGAGGTGACCCGACTTGTCGCGTTATTATCATTTTACTTTATTACTTATGACGTTAGGATTTTTGTTACGCTTTAAATATCGCGGAGCGCTGGAAGAAAGAACCGAAAACTTTGCCAGTGTCATAGCTGCCTAGGCCCGCCTGTTTGTCCCTGGTTGGTGGGTGAGTCCAGAAAAATAGTAAAGAAACAAATGTCTCTCAGTCCTTCAGGGATGGCGATTAATACTGAACCAGCACATCCCCTATC